ATATACTGCCGTACATGTCTCGACAAATCCGCCTTTTCAAAAGTGTCAAAACAGATAACTGGGTCATTATGAAGACTCTTCGCAACAGAGTCAGCTAGTTCATTGCCTCGGATGCCACAATGGCCAGGAATCCACATCAATTTAATTTTGTTTTTGTGTTTAATTAGCAAATCCCTGATGTGGGTTACTAGAACGCTGTCCTTTTTGAATTTCCGGAGCAATTAAGGCGGCTTGGTAGAAAGCAAAGATTTCACTGGTGTAGATGGAGCAATGATTAGGCAGGATACCTTTTCTTAAAACATCAAGGGTTTCAGAGACTACTGCAAATGAGGTTGAAAATTTGGTTTTCGAACCATCGGTAAAAATATACTTGAATACTTTTTGAATGGAGTTATGTCTTCATCGTACTAAAATTTTCTATTATAAATCTATCAATAACAATAACATGGCTATTGGAAAAATTTGAAAAAAATATCTAGAAACCACAGGCAGCTCATATGTATCTAATATTCGTAACCGTTAAGGCAGGAAGGGTGAATATACTATTGAAAATCATTATTTTTTCCATAATAATTGAAAAAGCACTGGCTTTATATTAGCTTTTTAAACTTCCTTTTAAATTTCGGGGTAYGGTAACCCTGGTGTTGCAATCTGACAACTGACAGCTTCATTATAAAATTTGACAMTGGATGTTTAACATACTCAGAGCGTTTTCATATACAAACGCTATTTGTGTTGTTCACAGTTACTTAAAATATTCAACTCGGCCAAAAAAAATGTATTCACGTGGGTTACCCATATGTTTTTGTTCTCTAATCTCAAAATATAAAAAAATTGCAATCTCCAATTAATTTTTGAAAAAAAAAATTTAACAAATACTGGTTTACTCAGAAAAAATATTACATATAAACTATAAAGCGAATATGTACATCGTCACATAAWATGCAAAACAACGTATCATCAAAAAAAATCCAAAAATCGCTAACAGATATAATAACTAATATATAACCATTTTATAACCAATATGAGTGTYTGGTAACCAATATATAGCCATTTTATAAACAAAAGTTGAATTTTGTTTGAGTGGTTTTTTTTCCCACGTCTTTCCTTCGCCCTTAAGGATATGAAAAGTTATGTTCCGTTATTTTTCATTTTACGTAACGGTATACATATATGTATATATTTGTTTTTTGACTAAAAAAAAATTACACAATTAATTTGGAAATATAATTTATATTGTTGTCGAGTTAAATAATAATAGTGCAGAACAAAACAATTTAATAAAGCATTTTCTGACATTTATTAGAAAAGTAATTAATTTACTCATAAAACAGTTATTATATTATATAACACAAATAATAACAAACTCGTGAAGAMGTGAAAATTATCGCCCAATTCAAAAGCCATTATTCTTTGTTTCCGATATCATATATCCAATAACGGTGAATTATATGCCACTTAATTTCCAACCACTTAATACTTTAACAAATATGTGCACAGTTTTTATTTATTTCGCACATACATGTATACAAAAAGTGAATATTGCGTTATTTCACGTGGCCAATTGGGCGATTGCCTCCCATTTAATGCCACTTAACACCGGCGCGTCAAGAGTTAATAAGCGATTTTAAATTACCGCGTGTCTTTTTGTGCATTATTTTATTATTATTGCTACTTTTTCATTTTCGTGGCAACAGTCGCAAATGACTTTTCAATTGRCGTGATATTAAAATATGCAGCGCGGCTTTCAAATTTCAATAACGCAAATACTATATTTGACCGCAAAATCTGATAAATGCCATAATTGGCCGTCGCGATGTGGAGCTATATTTGCGACAGCGGTGATTTGTGCTCAAATACTCATAAATTGTKTATAAATATTTGCGTGTAGTAAGATATTTTCAAACTCGCATGCATGCCATTGTGGTTAATACAAACGCGTGGCAACATTCCATTAGCTTTGATATTTCTTTAAACAAATAACTCTGCAACCACAGTTATCTGTAAAATTTTTTTTTTTTATATTTGCCGCTTTCAAAAATCGGTCCTAAAAATAATGCTAGATGAGACGAAAAAGAAAGTGGTTGGCGCTGAGTCGGCTGACTTTATTTACAAGACYTTTGCGAGTCCCTGTTTTATTATATTATAGATCACGGCCATAAATGAAGCATTTATTTTTAGAAAATTTTTACTAGGAAAATAATCACAAAAATTTTCAAAATAAACGAAATTAGTTTAAGCCCCACTTTCAGTCTAACTTATCTAGAAAAAAGCTCTTTCTGGTAAGGTGACGGATTTTATAATTATAGAAAAAATTTGTGGTAACTACATTTTACACCCATTCGGATTTCTGCGGCAATACGACATACATAAAGGAACCACCAAAAGTCACTTAATATTTATTATTTTTTGTAATGTAAAGTATTTTTCTTTAACTTTATTAGGTTACATGGGTTTCCTCGAATTATTAATTTTTTATATAAAAAATATATTTCTTTTATATAAAAATTAATATTTTGTTTAAATTTTATATTTTACAAAGATATATATTTTACGAAAATTCAGTTGTAATTGACGAAAAAATTTCTACTTTGAAGCCTTTGTAAATTATGTCTCGAAGACCTGTGTATTATTCCATTAAGTGCAGAGTAGAAAAACAAAAGTTTTGAGTGGCTATATATCTAGATTACCGCGATCGCTCATATTGTAAACTCTATACCCACATCTTTTTCTCGGCTCAACTTGAACTTATACGACAATATTCTAGAGATGTTATAAAATTTAATAGATAATATAATATAAATTTTATGTGAATTATTTTCCAAAAAATAAGTTGCTTTAAGTTGAGTTAAGATGAATCATAATATATCACGATAAGATATATTTGGTTAATTTAATTTTTTAAAATCAGCTACGTTGAGAAGTTCACAGAAATGTTTCTTTTAGCTGCATTCTAATGCCTATTATTAGTAAAATAATACCCTCTCCTCTGAAAAAGGAATTAAAAACCCAAATATATTTCGTTACATCAATTTTAAATCTACCAGTTAGTACTATTGAGTAATGACGGTTTGTCAAAAATGAATAAATAAATAAATAAATKAAAACAAATAAAATGATAAAGAAATCCTGTTTTTTTTTTTTTGAATATTCTTATTTCAGAAGAAAAGATCCTATTACTCGATCTTACTCGATCAAAAGTTCTACTGTCTTAACTTCGCTATTTTTTTTTTTTCAAAAATGAGTAAAATTTTTCTTCCGTGAAATCTCAATTTACTTATGGAAAAAAACTGTATATATTATGAAATAAAAGAACAAGACTTGAATCGTCTTTCAGAGGTTTAGAGAGATATTTTTTTTTTTTTTTTCAGTATTGGATGAAAAGTTCTACTACTCTACAAAATATTATCATAGTTCTAGCTTTGAAATATTTTATCACTTCAAATGAAAAATTTGAAATATAGGTAGGTATATCAACTACAACTGAAAAGTTACGTATACGACATAGGTGACCCATATCAAGGAAAAAAAAACCAATTGTGAAATGAAAGGTGTTCTTAGGTATTTATTTTTAAGTTCCTCAAAATTTTTTAAAAATATTTATAAAGGGTGTCCCAAAATTAATTAAATTGAATCAAAACGTTTTTAGTTGTGTAATTGTTTTTTTTTTTTTTTTTTTTTTTTTTTTTTTTTTTTTTTTTTTTTTTTTTTTTTTTTTTTTTTTTTTTTTTTTAACCTCAAAGTACATAGGATATGATTATTTAAGGCAAAATACATTGGGACAATTAAATGAGTTTTCCATACAAGGACCAATTTGCATGGCAACTATACGTTAGCTTTTGAAGATAACAGGCAGTGGGCAAAATTTCAGATCGTTMTCTTAGAAGATGGGGGACACAACTAATTCAATTAAGATCATCATGCTGATGATTTATATTTATCCTTTGTAGTGGAGCTCCGATGTTTCCTGCTGGATGCTACAAACTTTATAACAAATTTAGTATGCCCAGTTCAGAGTATATAAATGAAATTGAAGAATACATATCAAGTATGTACAAAAAATATTTTTTAAAGCAAATCTCTAATAAATTTTGTTTCTTTAGTAACGATTCCTTTTCTATTTCGTTCTTTTGTTTTTATTTCAAGTGCGATTAGTACATAATTTATTTCTCCGCTTCTTAGTAAAGCGTACATCGAACTGTTCATATACATATATATAGTATACTATATATTGATTATAACTGCGACATAAAACGAGTGTAAGGCATAAGTCAGGTCATTGTCAGATTTTTGCATATTTCGCGCGAGGGAAAAAACAACGTTTTTGATGCATATTTCAATACTTATAATTTCAATCAAATTATTAGCACTTATGTATGACAGGCTTACATATTTATTGGCGTTATATTCATATATTGCTGAAGCATCYCGAAAAAGTTCTCATTTATTAAATTTTTCTGTTCTCGTTGCCTTTTTTCTCCAACAAACGACAACACAAAAAATCACTTCATCAACTGCACTGCGCCAATCGAATGAAAAAAACTTACAAATACAACAACAACGTGAATGTCTGGCTCACAAATTCGACAAATTACAATGCGCAATGAAATCAAAAATAAACACATACTGACATATACATGCATATGTTAACAACCGCAACAACAAACGACTGTTTTGCGAAAAACAATYGCCAATGAACTAAAACAACTTTATTAATACACAACAACAACAATAAAACAATTATGGCTAATGAACGCATTTGATATTGGTGTGCACACGTCATCATTGCAAAAACCAACAAAAATAAAAACAACAACAATTCGGCTTATAAACATCAACTGCGCTCGCTGATTATACAAAAACAAATACAAAAAAAAAAACAAAAAAAAACACATTTTGTACACTTGGACACGTTTCACGCGCTTGTGGAACCACACTCTTCCACCACCTTTTCTCTTAACCCCACTGCTCTCTACCGCGTTCTGCCTCCTCCAACGCAGGTGGTCAGGATGTCGAAGTGGACCTCTCAACGGAAATAATCAAGCAACATTTTCAGGTGAGTGCCATGCAATGTTGCAAGCACCTTAAACGCAGCAAGCGGRCGGCAGCAATGCTCAAACACACACACACGCACACTCATGCACTCAACTACAAATTATTCATTGCTGCTGTCAAGGGYTGCTTCTGCGTAAAAGATGCGTGCAAGCAATTCGTTTAAGTGGCGCCATTGCCTGCAGTTCCACAGTACTTAAAATTTCACGTTCTTTTGCTTTTCTTTTTTAACCCTTTTCCACAACGCTGGCATTTCGTCTTAACGGCCACTGTGCCACTACAACTTTATTACGGCTGTCATCGGTCGTCATTTTACGATTTTCACGTGCAATTTCTGGCTTTTTCATGCGTGCAACTGACAACATGCATCAACAACTACAACAAATGCTACGTTTCTGCTGCTGTCAACATCCTCGCTGTCGCTTCGTGATCAATGACGCATGCAACCAACTACCACCCCTAACTACAATAACAACGACAACATGCAACGCACGCATTGCGCTTGACTCGTTGCATTCGTGACTTTGGACGCATCAACTGATTTGATGATTTTGAATGCCGTTACCTGCTGCCTGACGGCCGTTGGCTTGCGGCGACCGGTTAACATTCCAACGTACGATTGAGTAGAGTACCTGCCACACAGCGTTGGACACTTGCCGGGAGGATGTGTCATGCTCGTCGTCCCTGCAGCCAATGTTGATGCATTGTGAAATGCACCGTTGCAATCGCAATGCATGCATGACATCACTGCAAGCCTTCTACAAAGGTCCGCACGAGGATTTGAATTTGGACATTGCCTTCTGCCTCTGCAAGTAAGTATCCCTCCCCAGACCATACATATGTATATACACACATAGCTGCTCTTTGTATCCACATATACATACATATGTATGTGTGTCAACATGCTTGCAACATCTACTTAACTATTTGCAACTGTGCGCCTTTGTCTAATCCACTGCGTGCACTAAAGAGCCTGGCTGCACGACTCGCTGACATACTCGATTGCTTATACAACTATGTGCATGCTGCATGCATTGCCTAGCATGGCTGCTATCTGCTCGTGCACGCTTCGTGGTTTCGCATTACCCACACCGAGTATGTGTTTGTGTGTTGCAGCAACATTTTTTTGGCATTCCATGCCGCCACTCACTTTGTTCCTTCGTTCTCGAGCGCATTGTATTTGTATAAGCACTTGTGTTTTACGTGTTCTCTTGATTTCTCTCTTCACAGAAAAACAACGAATCGTCACGACATGTGCATGATTGCACAGGAAAAGCTCCATCCAACGTGCGCACAAAGGCCGGCCGATAACAGTAATCAGCAGGGTTCAAATGGCATATACTACCATCCGCCGCCGTCCTGCCACTCAGTAGCGGAAAATTGTAAAGAGGATCGTGAGTGCAGGTAAGTGGAATTGAGCAGCTCTTTGCTGTTTGCTCGGCAGATAGTGTGCTTTGCTAAGTTTAGTGCAAGTAGCCATGCGTTAAGTGGCAGATTTCGCTTCATCATGGCAGCAACAACAAGGGTTTCTAATCTGAAGCAGATGAATTATGCATATCATGTTTTAGAACACAATTCTCACTTAGTAAGTATACGAAATTTTGTGGCTTTTGTTGTGTTTTCGCTAATGTTCAATACAAATTTGACTCGTGAAAAAATTAATATAGCTAGTTTGATGACATTCGTAAATTCATACAGAAAGCTCATATACGTTTTGGCATGAGAGAAAAAAAATTGAAAAGATGGGTGTCCGGCAATCAAGACTTGCCAGTTGATGTATGCCCCGGTTTTTTTTTTTTTTTTTGAGATTATTTTTTTTGAGATTATTTTCGATCTCAAACTTATTAAGAGCTCCAATTGCGGCTTCCGGCCATCCGTTGTTGAAGGCCACCCTCGATATCAGCCTAGTATTTATGCAAAAGGGAATTTAAGCCCTAATGTGCATCTAGTGTTTTCAATAGAAATGAGGGGAGACTGACTACAGGGCTACAGTCCTTAGCAGTGACATGAGAGCTTTTATCTGCCGTCGGAACGAACTGGATTGGGACCAACCAATGATGATATGATATCTTTGTTGTACGCTAAAACTGTATGAATTTAATATCTTCTGGTCCCGGAAACTTAAACTATTCAAGACAGTACATAGCTTACATAAGACGACGCTCATTAAGAATATCTGATAAGGCTGTATAGTCTTCTTGTATCACTCCAAGGGGCTCTTCTTCCGTGGATAGGTTTAGCAGAAAGTGAGCATACCCGTCTCTACTCTTTCCCAGCCTACACTATGTCCGCTTTTACAGACCTTTTTGAAAAGTTTTCAGCTTGAAGATCTGATTTTCTATCACTCTATTGTCCACCAATCTGGTTTCCTCTTTCCGGTGTGCGTTTTTAAAGACCAAGAGCTTTCAAGGGCAGACCTATGTACTCATCGGCAGATAACTTTCAGATTAAATCAGACTCAACAAAAAGAGCTAGTCGAAGCGTCTTACCGTAAAGATCCCAGTTCATGTTTCTTGATAAATAATCTCTTCCTTGTCCAGGTTAAAACTAATATACCTGTTATCATAGTAAGAATAGTCATTAAAAAGTCTCCAATCAGAGGTTAAGGGATCTGTTTCCCTTGATTGTCAGAGACTTCTTCACTGCCCGCAGTTACGAAAATGGTGGAGTTTCTCCTGTTCTTAAAATATCATCACTGCAAATGAAAAATTAACTCGCCTCTGGCGTTTAGGTCCGAGTTTCCCCAAATCGTATTCCTTGAGTTCGCGTCCGAACTAATAATAGTACTGACTTTCTTTTGATGGCTTCAACCTCGATCCTGGAAGTCTCAACTATCCACACTAGCAAGACTCTCATTACGGATTTCTTCGAAAAGCCTCTCGAGATTGAAGGTAGAATCATCGATTTGCCTCCAACGCTCCGTGCGTCCAAAGAGGAGAGTCTCTTGAAACTAAAGTATTTTTGATATTCTTTTAATTTTGTTGAACAATATCCATTCTTCATCTTTATACCTCAAGAGCTCTAGTATAAGCAAGGTCACCAGTGTTATTGCAGCTTTATCATTTTCAGTGACAAAAAATTGTACCTTTGAAATTATAAATGTTCTTCATTGAATCTAAATGCTAGTAACTCAAATTGCTCTTTCGAAATGGTTTGTCATCTGAAAATGTTTATTGTTAGTATTAGAATCAGAGTCAGAATATGGACTGGTTCCACTATTGCCCATAGTGGTTTCAACCTCACGATAGGTAACTTGAAGATCTTGCACACAGCATAAATAGATACCAGAACAACCACAGATTTTGGACGACATTTACGAAATTCAACCTCGATTGCATTCATACTAACTCGATAGGCACCGGTTGTTAATCGAGCTTTATCGAAAAAAATTATTTTAAGTTCATCGAAACACTGTTGCTGAGTTGTAAAATATAATCGCACGAGAATGTTCGTGATATATTTCCAGTTTTTGATCGAGATGAATATTTTAAGTTACCGTAAACAATACAAATAGCGTTCGTATGTTCAAACGTGCTGAGTATGTACAACTTGAAGATGTCAAAATTTGGGATAGAGTTGCCATATTGTAACACTACGTTTGCCAAACTCCATAATACAAAAACCAACCTGCATATAAGGAACTTTATTTCAACTGAATGTGCTTCAAATTTTGAAACAGTCCAACAGAATTTATTAATACCTTTTTCAAATTTTTAATAACCACAAGTTTTGCACTTTATCAGCTGTGGGGTAATCTTTCAAAAATCTGACGCAGACGAAACAAGTATTGATAAGGTTTAAATAGTCGTTTTATACTCACTTGACTCATTTAACCAACAACATGTTCAATTACTTTCATTATAAATGAATACCATAAATCACTAGCAGCTGCTAGATAGCAAGGAGCATAGTGAAAGTCAAAATCACGGAATATAACCATATGTTATCAACTAAAATTTTGTGTATAACTTGAAACTATAAAATCTGTTCAAAATCAACGATGTAATTAAAATCATCAACAACAGACAGATTGTTGTAGCCAGATGTGACTGCAGGCAAGTTGCCAAAATGTCTAATAAATATGTTGTAGAGATGCTTTTCTCAGAAGGAAGCTAAGCTATATAAGGCAAGCATTCGAGGAACGAAGGGTGTCTGCTTGTGGCACCTGCCTGAGATTTTGCATCAATGCATCATGAAATTGACACTTTGCTGAAAGATGCAAGGTGACTGCCATTAACTACACTGATGCACACAATCACATACATACACTTTATAGAGTAGTGGCAGCAGCGCACATGTTTTTTGAAAATGAGTTGCACGACATGTTGCAAGATGAGTTACGTTGCTATTAAAAGAGACACGTTCTTCAAGATAATTTAATACACACACGCATACACAACCAAATCTTAAACTGTTACACACATACAAAAGCACTTTATAGCTTCCATCTAGCAGCTTTTTTTTGGAGATGCAGCAAGCAATCCGGTTTACTGCAGCAGACAACGAAAATAAACTAGCTGTCAAACTGTGTACTGGTGTGTGTGCGATGGCCGCGATTTTCAGAAGTCACTCTACTGGAGGAGTGAATATGCTGCGACATATTCTACAGACTTTCTTAAACTTAATCTGCAGACGCCGATGTTATAGTGTGTCGGAAGCACACTCAAAGTGTGACGACCTCTAACACAATCATAACAGTGAATATACACATATGTGCGATTTGGTGGATTATGCACATAGATTTATAGTATGCCAGACGCATGGTGGCGCTGCAAACAAAGAGAAAAAGAGTAGAGAAACCGCAGCGAAAGCAGAAGCATAGCGCGTCCTAATTGAACCACGTTTACTATCGTGTCTCTCATACACCCCTTATTGTTTACGTATATTTTTTCTCCTCATCGTCCCTTCGCTATTTGCCACACTATGCGCCTAGTCTTAAGCGTCTAATGTGCTACCGTGTATGAGCTTGATTGTCTCATTGGTCGCATAGCACAACGTCATTACTGGCTGCACAGCTAAGCGACCACAAAGTACGTGGCTGCAGATTTAATTGCCTTTTAAGTGAATCGCTCTTTTGCTCCAGTGCAAGCAACTAAATGTGCTAATGGCGACACTTACTTCATAGGCGGCCAATATAGGTATATGAAATAACGCAGCCACGTTAGCGTTAGCTGGATTAGTGAACAATTTATAGTGGCGGTGGAGCTGATTTGGCAGACGGTCGAGTAAAATTTTGCGATGAAACTTAAAACTCAGCATTTTCAATATTAATATTCTTTCAGCTAATCGTTAAGTGCGTAAGTTGATAAGAATATATATTTTTGAACGTATGTCTTATTGTGAACAGATTCTGAAAAAGCATGCCGAAATCATACTGAAGAAATTTACACAAAAGCGTAAATTTTAATACTTTGAACAGGACTCGTAGGTTGCCTTTATATTTCGGAATTTGATAACCCTAGTGTTGCACTCTGACAACTCGAAGCGTTACTTGACAACTTTAATATTATAAATATTTAAAACTTTTTGACATGCGAGCACTATTTTGGTTGTTAACAGTAACTTTAAATATTCATCTCGGTCCAAAAATGTAATTACATCGTGAATCTAGCCATAATTTTTTTACAAGTTTAGACGTGGATCAACTCACCCACTGTATTTCATCGAACTTATGGGATTACATGGGTTTTCTCGGGTAGAAACAGCATATTTTTCAAAAAAAATTTGAAATATAATAAAAATGAAATATTTATTCAGAATTTTTAATTGTTACAAACATATCAACAAAGAAATTCCGAAATGTTTTAATATTTTAAACTCCGCCATTGCGCCATCATTTCCAGTCACGCCTTAGAAAAAGATTCGCCCGCGTTGGCTGGATAACTTCTTAAAGGATCATCTGAGTGAAAAATACGTGTTTTAGTTAAAACCTTAATTTAGAACTTGACGAGTGAAAAAAAGAAGAAGAGTAAAAAAAAGCTTAAAAGTTGCTTTTGTAAAATTTCGTGAAGAATAGTGAGTAGTTCTCGAGAAATATTGCCAACCAACCTCAAAAGCAAAGTTTCGAGAAAACGCGTTGAAATACGGACTCACTTACCAAATAGCAAACTATTGTAAATTTCGGATCAAATTGAAAATTAAGGACAATATTCTAGAGATATTGTAGCATTTAATAAGCCAATAAAAATATTAGATTTTTTTAAACTCGTAAACCCATGATTCTCCAGAAAGGTCCTAGTGTTATCGATGGTATGGGGAATTCCAAAATCAGTTGTTACTTCACTAACTATGGATGATGAAATTGCATGATCGTCAAGTGACCTATCATGAGAGTGAGACAGCTATAAGGATAAGTGAGACCAACATACATTAAATATTGCATGAACATTTGACTGTTCACGCTGGATGCCACAAAACTTGTGTAGATTAGTAGAGAGAAATGTAAAAAGTTAGAGAGCAATGCTTCGAAATATTTCTATGATAACATGACTAAATGTAAATAGTAAACTGGGTATTTCAAGTCGAAATCGAGTCGAAAGCACTTCCAAGCAAATGGCTGCCTGTTTTGTGGACCAACTGGACTTGTCGCAATCATACCACTAAAACACAACCATTTGTCGTCCACTTATCTTTCAAAGGCCAGTCGGTTCAGGAAAACTAATCGCCGAAGACGGATCACCTCGACATTGCGAGCTGATGCACTTCAACTGAAACAAATACATTTTTGAGCACTCAAAACATCAGTGATGAATCATCTACCGTGTTGTTCAGAAATAAACGCCGGATACCCAAACAATTATAATCTAAAACGTATTCAAAGATGGTGGAGAGATCATTGTAGACATGCCTCATTCTAAATGACTTTCGGCCATGGATTTCACACGATGATAATGTACCACCGCCTCGTACCACTGAGTCCATTTAGCTATGTCGGTCTGTTTGTCCGTCTAAACTGTATATGCGCTATTCAATCTCCGAATAAATTGCTCAGAACATAGCCCTATTGAATATGTAAAATTTTGTTATTTATGACGTGTACTCCACACAGCTTTGGAGCAACCGAACTTAGCTTATTTTCTTGTTATTTTTTTTCATTTCAAGACCCGTTCAATTAATACCGTAAAGCCCTGCTTTTCGAGAACGCAAACTCAATTCTCAAATATAATTAGAGGTAAGCCATTAGTCAACGTGAGAATCGACTCTCTCTGCTCTTTTCGATGTCAAGACATATTTACATTTATTTATGCAACGCATTTGCATAAAGACATTCAATAGCAATATTTTGCATTTAATCAGCGATTAAATTTGTTCTTATTACACACTAAATTTGTTGTTAATGGCAGTTTTGTAGATTTTGCAAGATATTTGTGGCGATATTATCATTTAATATACCACTTCATGTATAATGTTTAGGGCCATACGGCAAATACATTTCTTATTATTCACATTCTTCCTTCAAAAGCATTAGCTTTATCATATAAAGCACACATTAATAAGCAAACTTGCTTTCGTTTCCATGAGAGAGAGAAAGAAACGTCTTAATGGGTATCCCTTATACAGTCGTACCGTTATCATTGCTCTGGTGTGGCGCGTGCCGCAATTGATTTTTCATGCAAAGCCGCAATTCACGCAATTTTATATGCCTATATAAATAAACATATACATACACATACGCATTTGTACGCATGTATACTGAATTATTAATGTTCGCTTGCGTGTATGCGCACGAATTTACCAACAAATGCCATCAACACTTCTGTAGGACTACGAAATGCACTGATAATGGCAATTAATTACAACACAAGCATCATTTACACATAAATCTTAACATTCAATACATTTTATAGTACTCAATGTCATTTAATTCAATTCACTGGGAACGGTATACGTTTCACACGTTTTACGCATTCAATTATCCGGTGAATGCCTCAGCCATCAATCAAACTCACAAATGTCATGAGTTCTCACATATAAATAAATAATACAATACCCACATATACATATACGCACATATATACACTGATACTACTGTTTGCTTGTCAGCTATTATTCCCTCAATGGCATGTTATATCATCCATATGACATATTTAAGTCTCCCAAGCTATGACGGCGGCATGACAACGGAACTTTATTAAGCTGCCGTCATTAAGCCTCATTAATGGGAAAATGGTTGGCATAACACATGCGAGTCTTTTTGAGATTCCTGAAAATATATCATTATATGCCCATTGTAAGAATACAAATATGACAGTTTGTGACCTCATGCAAGACTTACGCACCGTACACATGCTTAAATATAATATAGACGTAAGCATTTATTTACTACTTATATAGTATGCGTCAATTCTCAATGACCACAAGCTTCGAAGCCTGTAAAGCAAAGGTAGACATTGCATGTGTTTTCTCATTAAGCACGAATATCAATTAATCATATTTATTAAGCACTTGCACTTGAACTTCATGGACTTTAGTCATGAGTTATGTGAGTCAAAGTTGCTTAGTTGGGAAGCGAGAAAGAGGAGGAAAACTATATGTTACTCTAAAATTATGGTAATAATGGTTACTTAATAAACATGCGGTAAAGTTTTTCACATAGAATTTTTTATTATTACAAACATACATTATTAACAAATAAAATCTTAAATTTTTGGAAAAATATTCCATTTCCGGTGACCCCTCGAAAAAAGCTGCACCAGCATTGGAAGAATAACTCCTTATAGGTTCTTATAAACTGAAAAAATATGTGTGTTGGTTAAAATCCTAACTAAGAACTTTTTGAAAGACTTAGATTTTTGGCAGACAGTTTTACAATCAAAATTTCGCGACATTTTCTTTTCTAATACTTGTAATCGAAAAAAATGTCTCGTCCAACTGTCTAAGAAATATACCTCAAAGACCTGTGTAAAATTTCATGGAGATCGGTTGAATCGAGCGCATGATTCTCATGGCTCTATCTCCGAAACTATTACTCGGATTAACTTGATACTGTTGGACAATATTCTAGAGGCTAGACAATACTGATGAGGAACCAGAACATATTTATACGAAGATAAGTTAATGGAAAATAAATATTTTTGAAATATAATTGTAATTACCCGATTAAGATCAAATACAGCTCCTTTTATTCGATAACTTGTGGTTATTCTGAATTTTTTTATTTCATAATATCACTCTAGTAAAAACCCCTTATCCGGTATTGGCAAAAACCTGCAACAGTCGATATTCCGAAGCTTCCCTTGAGATGAACTTTTGAACAGCAAAATCGTTAGTTATAGGCAGGAACAGATAGTGATTACTTGGTTTTGGGTTCACATATATATAATTCCTTTCTTCCCTTTCCGTTCGTTTGCTCTCAGGGTTTCTATGGAGTTACCGTCGACCCAATATTAATTACTTGGTTTGAGGTTCATATTATATGGTGGAGACATAAGAAAACTCCAACTATACTTTCTTGACTTCCATGGAGCCACAATCGATGAGTGTGGGCTAGGATTGTACTGGTATAACACAATTGCTCTCCTAATGGCCGAAACTCGCCACTTCTAAGCGATTGCTTTACTCTTTTCCCTACTTTGCTTGCCTTTCCACCCTTATCCAAGAAAAACTTAAACTTCCTTTTCATTAATAACATTTTTAGACAGTTAATACTTTTGTCAACTGAAAATTAACCGAATGCTGAAGAACTACATTGTATCCGTCGACGCTTCTCTCTAAAAATCAAGCCTTAAACTCAATATCGTATAGTTGAAATCGATCCAATATAACTATATATAGAGTACACTACTACTGTATTTCACTATTAACCATACCTGTGACCTCAGCATACGCAACTTGACGATTTGACTATACTACGAGGCAACTCTTTGGGAATTTTCCACATGTCCTCGCGCTACCTAACGCCCCCAATAACAAATCTTGCTGAAGTAGCAGAAAGTCTGGATTGTATGTATGTTGCTAAGCAAATCTTTTGTGAAGAAATGAAAGGCAAATACATGCATACTTGTAGTTATCCCAGAGCACACAAAAAAGAACCTAGTACCAAGCATGTCAGAATTATAAGGAACGCATAAGAGCACAGGAGTGACGGAGTTGATTTTGTGTCAACGAAAATTGCACACAACACGAACGACTGCCGCCATGCCTACCGAGCTGCGTTCCCTTATCTGACCCCAATTCGAAATTGGTTGACTTAAAGCGGGTGTAAATTGTGGCAAGCCGTACGGTCCCATGCGAAACCCCCGACCACGAGGGAAGCCCAAACGATGAAGCGTTGAAAACTTCAATTATGTTTTAATTGCAGTGCTCTTAAGACAACGACGACATGGCAATTAGAGCTGGAACGTGTTGCCAAGATGTTGCGTCAGCGCCAACGTTTGTATGTTGCCAAGTTACCGAGGTGCCGGCATACCGGCGCATGCTAAGCGAACGGAATTGCGAAAGGATGCTGCGCTCAGTGCTACGACAGGTTTTCGGAGAAACTCTCAGACTGAAAATTGTGTGTGTATGTATGTGTGTGTGTGTGTGTGTGTGTAGATAATTACTATTCGCAAGTGCTTATTTAAGCAATTTCTCACTTACGTGTATCAGCTTGTTGGGCGGAAGAATAAAGAGCTGACAAACTATTCCACACAACGACGAGTAGTTTCCAGGCTAACTGGTGGTTGCCACTTAGCGTATGCCACATTGCCACTATATTACACAAATATTGAAGCGCGTCCCTGTTGATTTTATGTTTAATAGACTAATAAATGGACCGTCGTTGTACCGTTAACTTTCTTCATAATTTAGGCTCAAACTGGAGTACTACGAACAGGCCTGTGCGGTGGACAGCGTAACGAAGAAGTGCGCGGGACGTCCCAGCGGCTGTCGCACTGCCATGATTGGCATACTCGGCACTATGCTGCGCACCACCTGCGCCTGCCAAGGTACCGACCCGCAGTATCTCTACCAATGCGTCGGCTGGCGGCGTCTGCTCTGGCTGAATCCCTGTGTGGGTGAGTACCTGATGCTGTTATTTCCGCTGATTTTATTCAAAAGTATGTTATTATCCTCAAAGTGACTTGCATTAAATACTATTTGCTTTAATAATAACCCTATTTTCTTCTATCTCTCATTCTTCGTTTTACTCCACTTTCATGCTTCTTCATATAAACGCAGTTGAAGCTCAGAAGGATTTTCACATGAAGCGCCTCGCCGAGTTGGGTTATCTAACGACTACAACTACTACGACTACAACAACCACGACAACAACAACACGCGCGCCACCGCCGCCTCCACCGCCTCCGGTATTGACTACAGTCACCACAACAACAACACATCGCCAACCGCCCACTTCGCCGCGTCAAACGTCACGCAAGCAGACGACGCACATCTTTCGTGGATATCCGGTGAGTGCAGCGTCTGGATTCAATCGATTAGCAATAAGCTGTGTGTATTTAAATTTTCCTTCAACTCTGCAAACGACACATATCATTATATAATTTTAAAAACATCTTAAATTTACATTTTAGCATAAAAATCGGTTACTAAAGAACGAGAAGAGACGAGAAAGTAGGCTAAGTGTAATATCTAAGTGTAATACCTAATGCCAGATTATGTATGGATTAGGCAATAGAGACCCTACATTTACTTTTGATTTTTTGTTGCTTATCGATCTTCCATTAGATTAAAATAATAAAATACCAAGAGTCCCAGATTGAATAAAAAGAAGAAAATACGTTAAATTCGTTCGTATCAAAGCTAAAATGCCCTTCAAATATACAAATAGTCCTGCAGATAGATGATTCTCTACCCTAAAACACAGAAAGCTAAAAACTAATTCCAAAGAACGATCTTTCGCATTTGAAAAAAAAGGATTTTCTCTTTCAAACATTGGTCGCAACTATATAATATATCAGATGCTCTCTCCATTCAGTCCAATATTCGATAACTCATTCGAGCATAGACTTTATACTTTACATATCGCCACAGAAAAAAGTTTAAAGGTGTGATATCACACGGTCTTGGTGGCGACTAGACCGGCCCAAAAGGTGAAAATATCTGCCCACCAAAGTGTTCTCGTAATAAATCTATTGGTTGCTATGATGTGTGTGGAGTAGCGCCATCCTTTTGAAATTATATATTGCCAACATAACGAGCTCAATTACATTATTTTTGAAGAAATATGTACCGACTCTTCCACCGTTCCACAACTCACACCAAACTGTTGTTTTTTTCTGTATAAATTGGCACCTCTTGAATTACTTCAGAAAACATTGGCTCGGAAATGTCGGATATTCTTGGAACTTTTTAAGAGCTCTCTCTCTTACAGCAAAGCAATGTCGCTTGAGAAGGTTGAGCGGTTTCAATTATTACACAAGCTGTATTTTGTACGCTTTCAATTTAAGATCTCGACGGAAAATGCGCCAAGTCGATCCATACGTCAGTCCGAGTTTCTGCGATTGAACAAAGCATTCTGCAACCAGATCTGAGAAGCAGCTGCAGCGACAACGTGTTAAGTGGTACACGACTTCTGGTAGCAGTCAGACCTTTTCTTAGTAAACAGATTGCAAATTATGTTAAATTGAATACCTGAAAAACTTCTTTGTATAAAATGCTTTTAACAGTTGCTTAACTTGTAAAATAAATAATATTATTAATATCTGATGATAGCCAAAGAATCCAATTTGTCCTAAAAGGCTAATCATCAACCCCCAAATTCCACGAAGTCGTCGAAATTTTACAAAAAAAAAAAAAAAATAAGACGACCATTTATTAATCTTCAATTTTCAAAATCTAATAATTTTGAAGTTTTGCCAAAAATTCAATATACTACTTTTAGAGGTTCCAATTTTTTTTAACGATATTGTGTTACAACAATTCTAAATTGAAGGTTTTTTTTATTTTTCTTTTCTCATTGTTCATTGTCATTCAAATTTAAATACACAACTAAAGCTGATGTCATTCATTTGTTATGGATATACATACATTTACAAGATTTGCAAAAACCTTTAGAAATATTTGAATATAATTCTCGATTCTTCTTATTTGCATGCAATTTTCACAATTGCGCTTACAACAAAATGCAACAAAAACGACGCCACTTCCAAAATAACAAATTGCAATAACCAACTCCAATAACCACAAACAATGGACAACTCAACGCAAAAAAAAAAAACATGAAAATATGGCGAATTCAATGGAAAACCAAACATTACAAAAACCCTTAATGCAGCCAAAGGAAAAATCGGAGCCCACATCTATGGAGAACAATTATATCGAACAGCCCGATTCGATACCGTTGCACAGCGGAAATGATAAAAACGGAAACACCGGAAATGGCGATTATCACAGCGGGAAGGGCAAGAGCAATGGCAACGGCAACGGCCACGGCGCCGCCAGTAATGCAGCAAATGGCAATGGCAGTGGCCGAGGCAACAGTAATGGTAATGGTGGCAATGGCAGCGCCACTAGTGCCGCCGTCAATGCGCCACGTCACGGTAAAAACGGCAAAAATAACAAAAATGGCAAAAACTCAAAACACAACAACAACAACGGCAACAATGGCAACGGCAATGGTATTGGTAATGCCAACAGTGCGGCTAGCGCGGGTGCTGGTGTCATGTACATCAACGGCCACGATAGTAGCGGTCATGCTGCAGCTGCGGAAGCAACAGACGTGGACGCTGCCGTCGGCGCTGCACCGGGCAATGGAAATGATTTTGGCGATTTCGATGATCAAGTGATTTCTGTGGAACAAATTCAAACAACGGAATATGCGGGCAACGGTGCAACAGAATCGCCAGCCACAACGACCACAACAATGGCAACCACAACAACAACGCAAGCGCCAAGTAAGTAACAAGTAGAAATATACTATGTGTATATGTGGATGAATGTATGTGACTTTTGTACATATGTGTTTCTTAGTGTAATGGGTGGCATACGTATGTATATTTATGAATGAAATTCAACTTTATATAACAGAATTATTACATATGATGCCTTTGTGGTTCAATATGCTGCATCCCGAAATTTCGAGATTACTATCGGGATCCCGAAATTCATAGTTACAGTTAAGGCTGACGTAATAATCACTATAAATTAAATTATTAAACATTTTAAAGTTTGTAATAGATTTTTTTATTTAGATATACATATGTATACTGGTTATTTTAGGTTGTGACCTTTTTTTGCTGCAAAGCTCACAATTTGAGTCCAAATTGATGTCCAACTTTTGTATTATATCTTACGTACTCGAGTACGTAATTCATATGTAACTGCCGCGAACATTGTAATCCTTGTAAATGCGAATGCTTTTTGTTAATATTTATAAAAGCTTTTCATTTGCTCTGGTTATGCGAGTGTTCGAAATGCTTTCCTTGAAAACAAATGAATTTCCGCGATATTGGCGATTTAAAATACGAAAACGCAATAAATTCTTACACTACATAGGAAGGACAAAGTGGATAATGTGTTCTAGGAACTTCTATTCCATCTCAGAAATTTGATCGCGTTGAATTCTCTCAAAGCTAGAGTGCTTTCATACATTCGGACGAGATGACCTAGCCTACGTAACCGCTATCTCTCAATTCGCTGAACTATGGCAATGTCATTGTATATATCGTACAGTTCATCGTTCCATTGACTGCGGTATTCGCCGTTGTCAATGCACAGAGGACCATAAATCTTAGCCAGAGCCTCTCGTTCGAGAACTCATCTGACATACTTAACTTGCACTTTTATTAGTTTTATAATATCAACCAATTTACGACAGACTCTGTATGATTTTATACATGAACAAGCCGGTTTGAAGAATTTGAGTTGACTTAAATTTTTTTAAGAACGCAATAATAGCACAAAACGTAAGAAAGTGGGGATTCAGCCAAACCACTTGAGGTTGCGCATTAGAATTAATAAATACCATTCTCAAGAGGCCCCACAGTAGTTCTTTTCACCGAGAGTGCAAAAAGTGTTCCACAATTTGGTATTTCGTTTCCTTAAAAACTTAAGTGGAGTTTGTTTAATTTGTATGTATCCGAAGCGGTTAGAAAATTGGTGACTGCAAATCTAAAAAGTAATTTATTATCTCACTGACATACTGACTAATGAACTGTTAACTTTGAAATCGTCAACTAAACAAGGATGTTTGTATTTGCTTTATTTGCAATGTTTCTGTTATTTGAGCACATTCACGGAAAAACGTGCACAACAACTATTAACAAGCAAGCTTGAGTAGACTATATATTAAAAAAAAAACTCTAAGTAAAAACAAGTCAATGACGCTATGATAAATGCCAACCATATTTCCGATTCACACATACACATGCATATATGTTTTTATGTACATTAAATTCACTTCACGCTAGAGAAGGGTCTATTCACACAAAGCAAAAAGGGAAATACTAAGCTTCTACTACAAACAGTGGGCGCAGACTAGACGTCCGCTTGCAGCTGCACACCACAACACGACCAGTACTACAACTGACCACCGTTATCAATACAAGTGCAATGAATACTCGTCCTAACTCATACTTCAGCCAACGATCACACACAACCGGACAAATAAGGGAGCTTAGTAAAACATCGAGTAAAAGCTAAACACAGACAACTAGTCAAAGCGATGAACTGCAAGCACTACAACAGCAAATGCACATTACAAATAAATGTATATACATATATAATGCCTTACATATACATACATATGCACATTTCCAATGAGTGATGTGAACAAATTGTCAAGCATTGTGTTAAATGACGCGATGCCATCAGTCACAAAAGCAATGTAAGCAAAAACAACAACACAATAGCTTAACTGGCGACGGTTGTCCGCATAGCGACAATCATCACTTTTACATGGATGTGTCAAGCAAAGAAATAATAATACGAGTAGTAAATAAATGTGCGATATTTATGCATGGAAAAATAAAGTTTGCATAGAATTCTATACATTTTTATATGGTTGTCCGTGGGGATGCAATGACAGCAGAGACGATTGCTTTTGTGGACTCGGTATGTACTTTGGTTGCTGCATATCGGGAAGAATGTGCAGATTGACTCAGTTTAAGGAATATTTTGTGCTATGATTGACCTTTGCTGGGTTCTACATGTGGCCATTACTTGTTCTTTGGAAAATAATCGCTCTGACGGCAAACATTCCTAAGAGTGCTTTTCCAAAATTCATGCATTTCTGATATCTAAAGAGCAAGTGCAAAAAAAGGAAGAATTCATGACTAAAAAAAATGTAGAATATTTTACCATTAAATTATAAAAATGTTAAATTTTTCATTTTAAGAATCGATAAAAATATAATTAACACAGCAGATAGTCAATAATAACTAAAATACTGAGCAACCAGTGTTTGAAAAGTTTAAGTTACTGAGGGTGTTTTTTGTTATCGTTATTTATCAAAGCAGATTAAGATTAAGATTTAATTAAAACATGGAGATTATTATATTAAATATTGTCACCTTTATACAGTTTAATATCATGGTGGAAAATTTTCAAATTGATCTTTTTATGTCGAATCCTACTGACATATTTTATTGCAACGCATAATACTGTAGCCACTTTGTATATTGAATAGAAAAATTTCACAAATCAAAACGGTGTGGGCCAAGGTTTGAGAATCTTTCAAGAACTTCTTCGGTAGTGACTTCAATCATGACACGTTTGCAGCAACGCCAGACCGATCAAACTATCTTGAAGCGGCGAAGTGTAGAAAAAGAGAGCTCGGAGCTTACATTCATCACAGAAAGAATGCAGAATATGCGTAGAAAACTATGAATTATGGGGTATAGGTCTACATCGCAATTCTTTAACGTTTCCAATGTAGTAGTCGGTAACTTGCTGTCTTTTGACTTTTGCTTCTAGGCCCAATAGCACGGCGATTGATCAAGTTCACCTTTGAGCGTCAAACGTCGCACGACGTTGTCATTATCCAAAAGCCTTTGAATCTATCTATCGAGCAATCAATAAGATTTACCATTTCTTTGGTTTCCAAAGCACATACTTTTCCTAGAAGCAGCAAACTTCGCTGAAATCCATCCAATACTTGGTTTGGATATTTTTAATTTTGGTCTTTAATTTTTATATTTACAAACCATTTTTTCTTTTACGAAATTTTCGGAAAGTAATGTTGTCATGTCCCAAGTTCACTATAGTTTTTATACCCTGAACTGGCTACATCAGGTTTGATACCATGCAAGCAGCATCGGAGACCCTATAAAATATATATCTAAATGATCAACGCGTTGATCTGAGTTGATTCAGCCTTCAGATCTTCAACTTTCGAGATATCGTTCTGAAATTTTATAGATGTTCTTTTCTCTGCGAGAGGCTGTTTATGTTTCAGAACCGCCGATATCGGTACACTATAACTCATAGCTGCCATATATTTTTCTATAGCTTCGGCGCTACCGAGGTTAATATAGTTTCTGGCTTTGAATTAGTTTCGGAAAAGTGGTCTAATTTTCAATCAAAAATTTTTATTACAAAGTGTCTGCTTTTCCTATGCATTCCTTGAAATCTGTACTTTCCAATGGTTTTCATTATTGAGCTACTGGGCCAATGCAAACTGCTTTTACTAATTTTATTTTGCTGGCCTTAACACTCAAATTTTCTAAACTCAATTGGTTATTTTAACCACCGAAAGAATCCTTCGAAAACATGTGTCCCAATTCGTAGTTATGGGGCTGTTTTGATGTTGCTATTTATGAGTAAGGGATTGTTTCCACAAGCTGCAAGTTCTTCATAAGTAGCTTTCATTTCCTTTTTCTTAACTATAAGAGGTGGCGCTTAAAATTTGTGAAGGAACTTTTAGATCTTACAAAAGCTCTTTGAAAACCTCGGAATATAGTGTTTAGTATTAAGACCTGTAAGTAGATGAAAAAATATATAAACTTTTGTAAAGCTTTGTTGTCTTGCAAGCCAAAAATATTTTAACCCGAAACTGAAGAGCTCAAATTTTAGAAATACTCTTCTGTCATAATTAAACATATGCTGTCTATTTTTAATAGCTTGTGCCTACACTTTAACGCAATTTTCAACTGATTTACTACAAATATTTCCCTTCACAAATTCCTTTGATTTTCATTGATTTGTTTCCAACTTCATATCGAGTGTTTTCGATATCCTCTAAATATATGTATATGAAGAACGTGTACCATTCTTCTTCGTTGTTTTGTTTATATTCATTTTTTGAACTTTCACTTATTTTTCCGGCGTCCTGCCAATCCATAATTTTTATTTACCACGTGTTTACTTGTGGCCCGCTTGCAGTGTACGGTTTGCTGTTGTGTGTGTTGTTTTTTTTTTTTTTTTGACGAAAGTGTAAAACCTTCTGGAATTTGCTTGTAAACAATATAAATATTTACGTATGCGCCACTGTCCACTCCAGCTTACTTAAATATATTTAATAAGTAAATATTTTTACAAATATTTTTGTGCTTTTAATTTCAGGAAATTGCGTGGTTCAACGTCCGCACCAGTCAGATCAGTTAATACGCGAAGGCTCTAGCAAGCGGGTATGTAGGAAAAATTTACTTTACAACGCTAGTTATGTGCCGTTATTAATTGAAAACGCCACTAAAGGGCTTGCGATAATTATATATTTTTTCCAATGATTTTTTGTTTTACTCTTCTTTAATTTATATTCCTTCACACTTCCTTACTTAAGTTGTCTTTTTGCTCCACTATTTTCTACCACACAGATCTACTCCTTGGATGATGCCGAATGCAGTGAATTGTGCAGCTGCGGCGAATCTCTAACGCTCACCTGTCATGCTCTCTGCGTACCGTTTGCGCCCTGCCGCACCGCCTTGGCCTTCTACAGTCATGCATCGCCGGCATATCAGGCATTCCGCGGCCGTTGCCTTTGTTACTCGGGCCGATTTATCTGCATGAAGCCACCGCTGGGCGAATACACGCTACCAGGTAAGTTCGCACACTTGTAAAATTTAGTTTTTGTTCGACTGCCGCTCAGCCGCTCTGTGTGGCGGCTTGTGTGAATTTATTGCGCAATAAATTTATATAAATTGTATTGTCTATTCGTTGGAAATGGCAAATCTGTTAGTCATTTTTCAAATTCCCTGAATTGCGAGTGGTAGTAGAGGAAAATTTTCTTCACAGCGGAATTTCAAAGAGCTGTTCTTTAAAGCCGAAATTGATTGCACTAACTTTAAAGTTGAAAAATAATGTTTATTATGTTTTAATATGGAGATTGTTAAATATTATCTAAAATTATATAAATTTAGTTTGGATTAAATACATATCCGATTACGCGGATATAGCCGAGTTCACAGCAGTCGATTCTTTACTTTCTCAATATGGCCTTCTCCACCTGGCCTTTCTAACGGAGTCGAGGTCTTCCTCTTCCTCGGCTTCCCTCTACGGGTAATGCGTCCAATACTTTCACAGCTGGAGTGTTTTCGCCCATTCAAACGACATAACCTATCCAGTGTAGCCACTGTTTCTTAATTCGATGAACTTTGTCAATGTCGTCATATATCTCGTACAGCTCATCGTTCCATCGACCGCAGTATTCGCAATTGCCAATGCTTTAAGAACCATAAATCTTCCGCAGAACCTTTCTCTCGAAAACTCGTAACTTCGACTCATCACATGTTGTTATTGTTCATGCCTCTATCCCATATATCAGGACTTAAATAATGAGGGCTTATAGAGTTTAGTTTTTGTTAGTCTAAATAATACTTTACTTTCAATTGCGTACCATGTCCAATGTAAGAGGTGCTACAGGCGAGAGTTATTCTGCGATGGATTTCGAAGTTGATATTGTTGGTACTGTTAATACTGGATCCAAGATAGACGAAATTATCTACCTATAATTAGTGATTTGTAAAAGTACCAATCATCTGTTTCCCATATAAATAGTGAAATCATAAGCAAATGAATTAATTTCAGCTATTTAATTTTTCTTGTAATTTATATAATAAATTTTTCTAAAATTATGCGTATTTTTAATTAATTTCAGGTGGTGTCTTCCTTTTACTTGGCTACAGCTCAGCCGATGAGGCACTACTACGTCCGCATACAAATCTCGGTGTGCAAGATGCCGTGCGAGCACTACAACAATATGTTACGACGCACATAGACAACCAGGTAGCAATTTCTTTTTCTCTAAATATTGTTATTGAAGAAATATCATTGAAACCCCATATATTATTACATTGATTTAAATTATATTTGTTTGAATAGTGGTTAGCTTTGCTAAGAAAAAAATGGGACAGTCAAGAAGGAAGTGTTGTGTTGTTTTCACCTCATCTTCATCCATATAGCTTCTGCTTGATCTTACCAGACGATTCCCAGCCTTACAGCATTAACGCCAATAGGATAATAGCCTGTTAGAAGCCCCACAACTAGGTAGACGCTATCCTTACTGAGGGCAAAAATATCACTACATCTCTTGAAATATATCTTGGGACAAAGGCATTTTGCGACAGCGCATGTATGGATGGTGTCCCAGCACTGACTCGCTACCATTCTACCGATAGCGGTTCTAGGGTGCCTTGCCAGCTCATCCGCTTTATAGTTTCCTGCGATTCCGGTGTGGTCATGATATACTGCTGTTATCACAAAGAAATTCGATGCAATTTAATGCGAGGTTATTAACTCCTTGAGCAGCCCTAAACCCATTGTTAATGAGTTGAAGGTCGCTTCTCTGAAAGAGGCTGCACTCCATAGCAGTAAATCTACTGCTACTTTGTAAAGCCCTCCACCAATCTTCCCCCCATGCTTCAACCAATCTGCAAAAAAGCTCACTGCCCTTCTTCTCCAACAGTTTCTTCCCACCCACAACTCCCTCATGTTATTATTATTTTTAATTCATACTAGATAATAAATAAATGGGGAAACAAACACAATTGTTTATGAAAATAAATATACGGCGATAATTTATACATACACCAAATATGCTTTCACTGATGTAGCATTTTAAGTAATACATTCAATCCAACTTTGATCGTCAAAAACATATTTACACGTATTTTAATACAAAACTTCACTACAGCTTTCAAAATAGGGTCCAAGGGAAAAACAAGCACGTAAACCATTTAAAAAATTTCTCAGACACCCTAAGCCTCGACTGGAAGGGCCTTCAGTGTCTTCAAAATTTTTATTCCATTTAAATTAAGCTTCAGTGGACTTAGAATACTTCTCCGAAGCGGATTCAGTTTCGAAAACAGAAGAAACTCACAGTGCCATGACTCTCGTTACGTGTTGGGTCAAAAAGTTAATCATAATAATGCAAGGTCGTGACGGCCTATTAGCGTGATGAATAATCTAAGATTTTTCTGTCCACAAACCGGTTATTTACGACGAGTGGCTTCACATAGGCGCTTCAAATCAGCCTATTAGTATTCTTTATTGGGCACTTCACTCACTTGAACAAATTCATTACAAACCACACCACCGTATTTAAGGAAAACGATAAAAAGCACCCTAATCCTTGACTGTCTTTGACGTGGCTTCTTCAGCTTCTTCCTATTGCTATTCCGAATATCCCATAATAGAATGCTTGAACATCAACGCTTTGGCTTCAGAGAAGGTCTCATGATATTTCTCTTTAATGCCAAAACGATGATTTTAACCACTGTCCCTTTTTCGATCTTATTGCCATTAACTTAGCATAAAAGGCTTGCATTCGGCAAGTTATCGATGACTTCACGATTAAATTGGAATTTGAAGCGGATCATTCTTCAAATTGATCATTGCTCATTTTTTTTTCTCCATGGCAAAAATCGCCGGAGAAATGGTTCGCATCTCCACACAGCTGCCAAGCATACACTAACTGCTAGATGGAGATCAAACTTTTAACGAATACAATAAATACAACTTTAATTAACCAGTCCGGCTCAAATTTTTTAAGTTTTTTTTTCTTTCTAATATAAAATTAATTAATGAAGATATTATTTCTATAATTTATTTTCTTTGAACTCATTTTTCTTTTTTCTCTTATTCACAACTTCTTTCTATTATCACCGTAGACTCAGTGTACGCTAACGCTCTTCAATATGACCGATGAGAACATCATAATCGCAGCTCGCCTACCACACGACGCCAAACTTAAAGCCATTGAACTGTTGGGCAAAGAGAAGGTAATCAATACAAACACCATACGCTCCCCCAAACACCACTTAGATATTATACAAACAAATCAATCAATACTTAAATAGCACCATTATTGATTGCACGCTCTGATTAGCGCGCTTACCTGCACATTCAACCCTCAGCCCTGACGGGCATATCAAATAACACCAACACACGGCGCAACAAATCGCTCATCTCTCCACTTATCACTTCCTCTTTCAGGATGAATGCACTTCGATACTGAAGACCATCAGCCACCACATCAACACCGAGCACCACGAGCTGCAATCCCACCGGTTGCTGAGCATTTTCAAAATGTCCGAAGTCGAAGTGGTTTGGCCCGAAAGCAGTCAAGCAGCGGCGCAGCTGCACAGTGGGCCCGCTGCATGTATCCTGCCACTCACGCTGTTGTTGTATACCGTTACAACAACGTTCACCGGTGATGCCGCCAACATGTTGCTGTTGTTGTTGGCGAGAGGTGTGTGGCATAGCCAGAGTAGAACAGCCGTAACATGACCAATGTCACCAACGTAATCGCAAGTAAGAACTGCACATTTCGAAAAGCAACAACAACAACAACACATTTACATTTCGTAGAGATTAGTAATTAATTAATATTTGTACATGCATAAATCGGACATAAGGGAATTAAAAAATACTCAAAGTACTCATAAAGCAGTAGTAAATAACGGTAATGACTTATTGGCTATGTTAAGTAACGGGAAAGCAAGTGTTATTAGTTTATAATTTATAATAAGTTTTTGTTTAATTTCAATAATGCGCATTAAAACAAACAGAAATTTACACACCTATATATATATGTATACCGAGTAAGTAGTTATTTATATGGCACGTATATACTTACACATATGGAAAATATGCATTAATTGAGCATGTATTTGTATGCGACCTTAAGTTAAAGGGCATTTAAACATAGGTCACCGTTAAGTTGAGCGTTAAGTAAGCAAGTGTGTGTGTGTGTGTGTCTGTTAATCAAATAACTTGTAAAGTTCGAAAAGTATGTATATATAATATACATATATTTATAATGTGTGGAGTGCCGTACCTATAAATATATATATAAACATATGTGTTAAACTGTTAGCTTCCCTGCTTTGTTAAGTTGTGTAGTTTGGGCAAGTTAGTTTATTCGAAGCACATGTTCAGACCGTTATAAATGCATGTAGTTATATTAGATAGATGAGATGAGCATAGGAGTATGTTGAAATGTATATAGATATGATATCTCAAGCAAGAAACATTTTAGTTCAAGGTTCCAAAACCTGTATAGAATTCTATCATTATGTTGGAACTGCTATTTTCAGACTATTCTCACTCAAGAAATACTTTTATTTATTTCAGTACAAACATCTGTACATAAATAGATACTAAAGAGCGTCAAAAAAACCACATTTTTTTACCTTATACTCTGAAAAATTGTCGAAAACAGTACCCAACAAGTATGACCTCTCCGATTTTCAGTGCCCTATGTTGACTTTATTGTTGAAATTCGAAATTTATTTTAAATAAAATACGCAGAGACTTCAAATTTAATGTGAAATGTTTATTACCTCAGATGGTCCATCCGTTGAGTCCTATTTTCGATGACTCGTTCAAGCATTTCGTCTGGTAACTGGCGAATTTCATACATATCCACATGAAAAAGTCTAACCGTGTTATATCACACGATCTTGGCAATTTTGCTTCTTTACATACCAATGGAGACAGAAAAGAATCTTATCGCTGAATATAATTTGGCCTGAAAACTTCGGATCTTCTTAGAATCAAGAGATAATAGAATTCAATATATGATCTCGGGGTAAAATGTGGCAAGTCGTTCCATACGTCAGACCGAGTTACTGCTCTCAGTTACGGCTGCTATAGTTTCTTCACTGCGTGCTGGATGTGGTATATTCGGGCGAATGTTAACCGATAATGAATGCTGGATCTTAAGATGGATGAAGGTGTTGCGATTACTATGCGCAGTGGGCCGATTACGTTTACCATAAGTTTATCGAAGTGCGCGATGCACATTCTTTACAGAAGGTGAATTTTTCTAATAAAATTGAACGATGTGGAAACGTTGTTAACGCGTCAGTCTTTCTACAATGAAATGTTAAACAATACTAAACAAACTAAAAAAAAATCAACTCACACATGATCTGTCAAAAAAAGTCTGTTGTAACAAGTATCCCTACTTAGATTACCCCTTAAAATTCGTGGAAAAAAAAATTTTGCCTTAAAATGTTTAAACCTCAACTTCTCAATTATTTTCCATATTCATTTTCATTTCCAATGATAAAAAGAAACGGAAAACCTGGAAACCGCTATACCTATCTAGTATGAAAAGCTCATACTTGGAATGAGTCCTTCTTAAATGTATACCAATCAGTTTTCCAGAGTATAAAGAAAGAAAAACTTTTTTTTTTTTTCAACCACCTAAATACTAATCTAGTTATAGTTATATAGAGGTATATTTTTTAACAATTGACTTACTTTTATTTTACTTTCATACACACAACTAAACGAAAACCTCCTCTACTAGTGATTAAGATCTTTAAATGTTTAATAATGCGAACCCTTTAAGAAAAATCTGTTAGGTTTTTAGTCTGTTACTTTTCAATTCTTCAAAACGTGCTGCATTTAACCCGCCATACTTTGAAACTAAGCAATATTTTTCTTATGATATTGCATATCAATTTCGCATATCAATTTTGAGTATTTTGACTTTTGTCTTTTGATCTTTGAACGCTTTTCTAAAATTTGCTATAGCCACATATTCTATGATATCGAAATTATACAAAAGAAATACGTATTCTTGTAATTGATTGTTATATTTTACTTATACTTATATGTGTATACATGAATGTATAACTGTTTATGATATAATAGTTATAAGAACGGTTACAAATATTTGTATATAAGTTCATACATATATTATATAATGAAAAACATAATGAATTTTTATACAAACTGCTGTCTATATAATAAACTATTGGAAAAATGATAATAATACTCTTAAAGGATAAACTAACATAAGCAGGCATTTAGGACAGATAAACTCAAAGAATATTTGAACTTAAAAAGGTATAAAATATAGAGAAGAAGAAGAGAAGTAGAGAGAGGAAGATAAGAGAATAAAAATAAAATAGCAAATAGCAAATAAATAAGTAAATATTAAGATTACGAGCATGAACTGCTTCTTCATAATTTGTTTTTTAATTGTTTTAACTATCTGATTAGTTGAAAATGTATATATAATACTATGGGCAAAAAATAGTAAGACTTTTTTTCATAATTTTAAAACTTTTATTTTATTTCCACTATTTTTGTTCACAGTCAGTGCACACAATCATTATTTTTAATAAATACCATTGCTAATTCAATATATTTCAGCCATTAATTTATTTATCAGCATTCTTTCGTTCTTTGACTTCCAACCGCCAATTTATTTCTTTAAACCATAATAAATTTTTTATGCAACCGAAGTTAATGATTTCAAAGTGCAACAAGCGTTGAAATACGACAGCTGTAACCGACACGTTGTGGCCAACATTCATCTGTGGTCAATTTAAAGTGTGTCAATAAATTTCAATAATAATTCAGTCGCCATGAACAGTGCATCGAAAAAGCATTTTGGTGGTGACGTGAAATGAAGAAGTAAGCGCTGAAAATGGCGTTTTCCACTATTGTAACAAAAATGGCAATTGTTCAAGAATTTGGTCGAAACTTTAAAGAATTTTTTTTTTTTTTTTTTTTTTTTTTAATTAATTTGTCTCGTATATTTATACAAACACTCAGTGCAATGTGAGTAAACTTTTATTTATAAAAAAGTGCATATTTTGTTTTTAAGACATCGTAACTTTTTCACGATAATAATGAATTTTATTTCTCACTCAATTACCTATATTATTTGTTTTATTTGATTAATTAAATTTATTCATTGTGACAGGAAAATACCGAAAGTTGTAAATAAAACGCAAATATTTAATTATTCATCCATATTTATTTTGTCGCCTTCAAAGTAATCTGTACTAGATTGAATACATTTATGCCATTTACCTGGGGAATTTAAACAAAATATATCAATTTAATATTAAGCTGGTTTTTTACAGTCAGCGTAAATAGTCCGATGTTTATTTATGTCGCTTCATAATAATTGCTTTTGCTCCTCTTTCCACTCCATTCAATTCCTGCATCAACTTGACCGTTCTTTCAACGATATAGTTGAGTGCCCCAAACTCAGAAAACTTTTTCTTCTTCTAGGCAGCTTGAAACGAAGCGTTATTTGGCCATACTTTAACGTTTTTTCTTTGGCTAAATTTTCAATCATTTTTGTTTTAATTTTTTGGTCTACGTCTCCACCAAATTACGATGAGACACATATTTCATCGATTTAACACCAATTTCTGTAAAGCAACTTTCGAAAGCTTTGTAACCATTTTTAATAAGGATATTACGAAACAAAAGCAAATATCAAGCAGCGCCGCCCTATCTCTGTTTGTCATTTTCAGTTTAGCCCTTAGAAGTGCTATATGCATAAATCACCGTCGCCATCCACCGGGCTTGGAGCACCGGGTCGACCTTTAAATGTTCACTTCTATTTTCATCTAAAAAAATCACTGAGAGCTGAATTAACTTTCGATATATATAGTTCCCAGCCGCCTTAGCCTGTTCTCTTCCTGATCCAAATTTTTTCTTTATTTTTATATGAAATTGCTAACAGAAGGACGTCCTACATTCATCTAAAGCAGGCATTAAAGCAGACATTTAAGTGTAAAAAATCAATTTTAATGAATACCGCACGTTCTTTACGTTTTTCGGTATTGATTTTTTGAATAGAGAACTTATTCAAAGGAAACTCATCGGTATGGCATCCAAATGCTTCACTTGTAGCTGCAAGAACATATACTATACAGTGTTTCTCATAATTTAATGACGCCTGTCTAATACGGTTACTAATTTTGTGTGGAGTCTTTCCGCACTGATTTTGTCTTGTATCATTTCGGTTGAAGAACTGTTTGTTTATTATTCATGTTGTAAGGATCCCCACTTCAAGCTGCTATCTGCACTCGATCGCACAGTTGCATTTACGGTCCTTGTGGTCATTTATGAATTGCAGAGAGTCAACACGAGGAACTTTATGGAATTCAAATTAACTGAGCCTTGTCGACAGAGTTTCTCATAATTTAATTGTGAAATTACTCTAAAAGCCATTTCTGCAAGAGGACTCTAATACGCTGAGGTAACAGAATGCCACAGCCGTCAGTCCAAGTTCCATGTTTACAAGTTGTTTGTTATAAAGGTTTTCCTTTTTCGTTGCTTGCTTTCGCTGTGCCTTTGTTCGGGGGCGGCTTATTTATTATTCACAGCTTTTCTATCCTGTATCACCTGGGTGGCAAGCACTCGACGTTAGTCGATCAAAGGAGTCTTTTCGTTTGGGATTGGCTCAGGCTTTGCTTTTGCACTTTATCGGGCCCTTTTTCGATTCAAATCGGTACGGTACGGGTATCGTAATTCTATCTACAACAAACTTAGTTTTCAATACTTCGAAAATGATTCAAAGAAATT